AGAGACCCCAGACCCCCGGCTCCGCTCTGCGTGGGGGGCTCGCTTCGCTCGCAACAACACCCCCCTTCGTACTTGGCCCTCGCTCCTCCCGCTCCGCCAACGCCATGTCGAAGTAAAGCGAGCGGGTGTAGAAGCGCGCGAGCGGCAATGACAGCGTAAGGGAGACCGCGACGCCACAGAAGTGCCGCAGCCTTTCCAACGACACCCAACGGCGGTTTCGTTGAGCGAGTAGCAGTAGCTCCTGTGCCAATCTTAGAATCTTCAAGCCCCTCGCCTCCGAAATGTAAACCTTCATAGCCACAGTGTCCACATGCACGCCCAAATGGTCTAAACGCTGCGCTCCTTCCCAACAACCTTTCGACGGGTGCCGCACTATGCCCAGCCGCGCAAATAGTGCGTCCAGACGGCGCCGAGCAAGCGCACAGTCCTTCTTCGTAGCGGGCCGCCTTGCGGGCGAGGGCGAGAGCAGGAAGTCGTCGATATACGGGAGCACTCGGTAGCGGTACCTCTCCCGCAAATGCCGCACGAGCGGCCGAAGCATCTTTGTAAACCACAGCACCGACCTTCCCCATCCGAACGGTAGGGCAACACACCGGTAGAGCGAGCCATCGTAGGAGAAAATAAACATATCGCGCATGGATGGATGCAAGTAGAAGTGGCGATATCCACTCTTCACATCCCACGACATCATCATGTCCTCCTTATGTAATTCCATCGCGAAGGCCGTTGCAGTCTCCATCTTTACACTGCCCCGGGGCCAGTGCTTTCTCTGTTGTGAAAAATTGACGACAAAGCGTCCCTTCCTCTCTGCTCTCTCGCCCTGCAAAACGGTAAATGCGGACGATACCATCTTCCCCTCTTCCACGCATCTCTCCACATAATCCGGATCCAGCCGCTCGTAAATCCCGCTCCGGCAACCAGCCTCCAAGTCTTCTTTCCCGAACCTCCTGTCTTCCTCTGATTGGGGGATATCGGGCAGCACCACACCCTCTGTAAATGGCACAGCAGGAGGGTCCAGGATCCCATACCGAATGGCACGCAACAGATACGCGCTGGCATCCAGCTCCGTACGCCATGCCTCCGCGCGCAGTGCTACCCCTCTCCAAAGTGGGAGTCACCCGACTCCCACTTTGTCCTTTCTGCCAAAAGGCGGGCCCGTCACTCTTCCGTGGCAGCCCCTGGGGAGCTGCCATTCTTGCTTGAGGCACGTTGGAGCCTGGCCTTAGCCAACATTTTTGCGGCCTCGGTTTCCATCTTGGACGTGAGTGCAGCCCGGGCCGAACGGTAGGACTCTGAGAATACAGCGTCATGCCCTTGCTCGACAAGGAAGGACATCTGTCTCGCGATCTCAACTCCTTGCTCCGTAATGTCCCGAAAGTATTGCGCCCGCATAGATAAAACCTCCAGCGTCGCCTTCATAGCATCCTCGGCGAGCACGAGTCTTCTTGTCATATCTTCGATAGTCCCACCATGCGTCTTCGCGACGTCGAGGGCTGTAAGCCCCAACTCCGTCCAGACGCCAGCAGCATTCAAATACTCTCACTCCTTGGCCGATCGCCGGTCCCGGGAGCGGAGCTCGTTGAGGAAGGCATCTTGAGGGGGCTTGAAGTAGCCCATATGCGTTATGGGTACATGTGGGCCCCGATCGAAGATGCCGCCCTCACCAACCAGTCGGGCAGAATTCAGTTCAGTGACAGCAGTCGCGTAGTCGCGGCGCTCGGGCTTTGCGATCGCCCAGGCTGCACGCGCCACTGCTTCAGCGTCGTTCGCAGCGGTTGGCGCGCGTGTGCCAACCGGCGCGGAGGCCGCCGTGCCGTCTATGTCGTTGTCAGTCATGCTACCCGGAGCCCTCTGAGTGGACTCTACTAGACCTGTCACCGCCTCGCATCGAGGGGAATTTCTCTTTCACAAAAGAGAAATAGACATAGCCGAGAAGTCACGAGACTCTCACCCGGCCGTCGGCGATATGTAGGACAGTGCGCGCTCGGTCGAATGCCAGGTGTCGGCATGTCACTCGCTACTCCTTGGACAGCTTCACCCGCATACACAAGTGTATACAGACGCGAGCATAGTGCTCCATTCTTCGAAGATATTCGAAGACCTAATGTCTACCGGACCATTGTCCTCATCTGAGGACATTTCTCCTCATATGAGTACAGTATTCGACCCATTTTATTCATGACTTCCGCTTCCCCGACAAGCAAGAAAATGATACGCCCGCCACCGAACTTGAATTCTGATTTGGGACCAGAAAGAACTTTGTGAGAATTGCATGTTCTCGGTGGTCGTTTTTAGATATGTCTCGAAAAGAAGCTTTTTAAACAACCCTAAAACCACATGTAAGATAACTTCGAAACCAAAAAACCCCAGTTCAAAAAGGCAACTTGGTATTCAATCTGCATTATATTGTTAAGCTTTACTTCATATTTTTGCAAAAAAGAGCTCTCCTCATTGGAGGCCAAGCCCCGGTCGAATAGACAAGAAAAGGGTAACTGTAATAAAGTTGCTCCAACTAACAACTTTACTTCCGACAATAAAACAACACACACGATTCTACGCTCGTACCTTATCCCATTTCGAGGTTCACCTCTATCTTATACTGTTCACAGCCTCTCGAGACATGTGAACCTTGACACGAAACTGAATACAAAAATATGCCGCGGCGACCGTTCCTGTATTTGTATTCAAAGTCCATCACGAGACACCCGTAAGCGGGCGGTATCTTCCGAGAGTGGGGGCACCCACGATCTTTCACTCGCCCACTTTTTGAATTCGACGACCGCGTCAATTTTTTCCTAGCCCTTTCATATTCATTGACCAGGTCCATGTAATTTCTAAGATCTTGCTTCGGCATCCAAATGGCTTCACTCTCCTCATCACCATAAAATCGAACTAAGTACCAAATTGCATTATCTTCCTTCTTCTTATCCATAATTTCCTGCACTTCCTCTTGTACAGTACCGTCTCCATCGATGATTACTTCCATGTTATTTTGTCCCTCTTGCTGTTGGTACTTCTTTAGCTTGGAAACATGGAAAACGTTATGGGCACGTTTTAAGGATGGGGGAAGTTCGATTCGGTACGTCACTGGCCCTTTAACCTCCAGAACTGACAGTGGTCCTAAGTACTTAGGTCGCCACTTTTCGGGTAGTCCTTATTTACTGAATGTGGTATAGGTGCCTGTCTTCAGCATGACTAGATCACCCACCTCAAACTGAACATCTCTTCTCTTCTTGTCAGCATAATGCTTCTCGTCTGCCCGTGCGTGGGCGATGTTGTCCCGAGCTATTGTTGTGAACGCTTTGCGCCGTTCAACATTCTGAATTGCAGCTTCATACTGTGCTCCGACAGGCCGTCGAGACCTTGTAAATGGGGTTCCCGGTACCCGACCAACATCGATTTCGAAGGGGGCTAACTCTGTAGTCTTGTGCTTAGCACAATTGTATTCATACTCCAAACAACTGAGCACTGTGTCCCAATCCTGTGGTGCCTTCTGAATGAACCCTCTTATCATGTTTGAAAGTGTCCTTATCATGTCCTCTGATTGACCATCAGTTTGGGGGTGGTCACGCGTTGACATGTTGAGGCTTACGTTTGTGAGCTCGGCCAGAGACTTCCAATACTTAGAATTAAACTTAGGGTCTCTGTCTGAAATGATACATAGTGGAACTCCATGCTTAGAAAACATATGATCCTGAAATAGCTGGTATACTGTAGTGGCCTTAACGTTTTCATTAGTGGGGATGAATATTGCGAGTTTTGACAACCTGTCAACAATAACAAGTACTGTATCATTCCCTGGCCTGCTCTTCGAGAACTTAGTAACAAAGTCCGTCGTGACCTGCTGCCAACATTTGTCCGGCACAACTAGAGGTTGTAAGTGTCCTGGTACGTTCATATTTGGTGTCTTATTTCTCTGACAAACTTGGCACGTCGATACGTAAGTCTCTATGCTTCGATACATATGAGGCCAATAGGCGTACACTGCCACCGATTTGAAGACCTTTTCCTTTCCAAGATGGGCTTGTCCGTGAAAGTACTCCTTAAGGGAGGATATCATTGAATACGTATTCAATGATATCCTCCCTTAAGGAGCCGTCATCCGGTTCATATACCCTGTTCTTCTCCGTTCCTTTCCAAAATAGCCGCACACCATCCTAGGAGAAATTGGCTGCCTGACGTGTATATCGAGAATCTCCATTGCTCGGGCTCCCTCTTAGGGAATTGATGATCGTTTGTGACCACTCGTCTCTCGTGTATCCTGATATGATGCGTCTGTGTAAGTCTCCATTATTGATTCGGATGGCCTTTAGTTGAATGTGGTCCGAGCGTCGGCTCAGTGCATCCGCAACCACATTTTGCTTCCCAGGGATATGAATTACGTCGTAGTCATACGACTGAAGTTCGTCCAACCATCTTTCCTTTCGTCCAATTAGTCTGGCTTTTGACTGTAAGTATCTAATAGGTTCGTGATCCTTGTGGAACTCAAATTTTCTTCCCCTGAGGTATACATCCCATTCTCTAAGGGCCACAATGAATCCCAGCAGCTCTTGATCTCCTGTATCCCAGTTGTTCTCTGCTTCGGATGGACGGTGGGACATGAACGATACGGGATGCCCATCCTGCTGTAGTGCAGCACCTACGGCATACTTTGAAGCGTCCGTGTACACCTGGAACAGTACTTTGGCAGTAGGATGTCTCAAAACTGGTGCTTACGTCATTGCTTTCTTAAGATTTTGGAAGGCTGCCAGTTGTTCAGATTCCCAATTAAATTGCTTTCCTCTGACTAGATCTGAGATTGGTCTCGCATTATGTGCATATCCTTTCACGAAACGCCGATAGAAGTTAGTGAGCCATAAGAAGCTTTGAACTTCCTTGATACTTGACGGCTCTGGCCATTCTGTAATTGCATTGATGATTCTTTTTTGCGTATGCACTCCTTCTCGAATTATTCGATACCCTAGGAAGTCTACTTCCTCAACACCGATCATTCATATAGAACGCTTCACGTAAAGGTTGTTGCCGCGGAGTATTTTGACAAGGATGCGCAATTTTTGACGATGCTCTTGTATGGACTTGCTATAGAGAAGTACATCATCCAAGAATAATACTAGGCAATCGCCATTGAGATCCCTTAGTAAGGTTCATAGAAGACGATTGAATGGAGCCGGAGCGTTTGTTAATCCAAAACACAGCACTCTCCACTCGAATGATCCAAATCGTGTTCGAATGTCGGGTTTTTCACAGTCTTCTTCTCTTATTCGCATTTGATGGTAGGCTCCTATTAGATCAAGTTAAGAAAAGATAGTTGCGCCTGCGACTTGATCAATGGCTTCACCAATGAGGGGAAGCGGGTTGGAATCAGCAATAGTGATCTTCTTTAGTGCTTTGTAATCGCAGACCATCCTGAGTTCTCTACTTTTCTTCTTAACAAAGAACATCAGTGCACCGTATGGAGATGCAGACGGGCGAATAAGCCCTTTTGTAACAGCTTTTGGAGTTGTTTCTTCAATTCCTTGAGTTCATCTACTGATAAACTAATGACTGGCCGTACTGGAGGAGGCTCATCAGACTTCAGCTTAATTTCGAAATCGACGTCCCTCTTTCGGGGTAGTTGACTTGGCAGTTCGTTAACCAATGTTTCTTTGAACTGCTCGGTAATATCCGTTAACTCCTTTCAGATTTGCATATCCCCATCTTGCAGCGTTAAGCGTACTGTAAAAAGCTCGCATTCTCTTTTTCGAACCATTTTCTTCATTTTTTTCAGGGATGTGTGACTGATTTGGATCTTTTCTCTCACGTTACTGTATGATTTTGGGCCAACAAGATACGTCTTACCATCCTCTCTTTTCAAGTTCAGTTCTCTCGTTCTCCAGTTGATTAGAGGTTCGTGTCTCCGAAGCCAGTTCCTTCCCACTATCACAGTGTGTGCAGCATGGTTATCGGGTCCCTGTAGTACATATATCCGTTCTGTAGAGAAGGCACCGGATACCTGCAATTCAGCAGTCACTGTACCTTGTACTGTAGTTTTTGAGCTATCACCGAGCTTCACTTCTGACCTATCCTCTTCGAGGTCCAGGCCGCAATATCTCGCAGTGTCGAGAAACATAAAAACGTGAGATGCTCCCGAGTTCACATTGACAGCTACGGGAATGCCGTTCAAGCTTCCTTCATAGAGCATCTCTTCAGTGTCATCCTGACGTAAGCATGACAGTTTTAGTGAGGATGTTGCCTCACCGGGGTCCGCCGCTCGGATGAGCGGCATTACTAGTTTTTTGACGTAGTAGAAATGCGGTCACCCTTTTTACGACAAGGGTGACTGGGGTCGCTCTATCCTGTCTTACCGCAGTCCATGCAACGTCCTGCTTTTATGTAAATGACTTTTTCACCAGACTGTGCAGGACCCCAGCTCTCCATGGAGTTGTCCTTGGTTGAGTACTGTAGTGCAATGTGCCTGGCATGCAGCGAACACAGTCCGACGGTCAAACAAAAAGACGAAAAACAACAGCAACAACAACAACTGCCGATGGCACGCGCTACGGAGCGTTCGAGACTCCCTTTCCCCTTGTGTGGGCTTGCGGCCCACGGTAGCTCAACTCCGACGGGGGGGGGGTAAGGAAAGATGCCCGGCCCGGGAGGAAAATGGTGGTAGAGACTTGTGAAGACTTGAGCGCTCGGCGAGTGCGGGTTGGGCTTGTCTACGAGAATGTAACCGCGGTTCGCTGGGTTGTAAGGCCAAAGCTCGACGAGCGTCTTCAGCACCTTGGGTATAATTCAAGGTCTTCGACGGGGGCTTGCTCAGCACTACCCGACGGGATCTTAATTGTGTAGCAGCGCTACTACCGACGTGTTGCCCGATGGCTAGAAACACCCTCACCAGCGCGATCGCAATCGCGGTAGGTGGTACCAACTCTGTCTTATACAGTAAGACCTTCGACGGAGGCGTCGTCGCAACAGCCTTCCGACGGAACTTGAAGCAGTAGCAGCGCTACTCAACGTGTTGCCCGATGGCTAAAACACCTACACCGGATCGGTCGCAACCGACTCCAATGGAACCAACACAATTACGGGAAAGATAGAAATAGAAGTAGAGGAATGAATAGGGAAAAGAAGGGAAAAGAGAAGGGAACCCCCGACCGCAAAGGATGCCGTAGGCTTAGGAAAAAGGGAGCGTCTTGGTAGAGACGGACTTCGACCAAGGCGACATTCAACTCTGGCAACTCGGGTTACCTTTACTGACTTGGTGGTCAGAGGGCTAAGGTATATATCGCCCCGCCGGAGCCACTACAGTAGCTCGCGGCGCTAGATCCTAAATCTAATCTAATGTCAGCAAAATTAATGCTAACTAATTAACTAAACAAAATAAAATAATTAGAAATTAAAACTGTGCAGTTATTCACACGTGTGTCCCCCAACCCGGACTACTTTTCATATCCAAATATTTTCCTTTCTTTTCACCCCCCTTTTCAGGTGCGTATTGCACTACAAGTACCTCTTTCGGTTCGGGATTGGTACTTGGAAGGGTTTTCAGAGCTCCACTTGTCCTTAGTAGAGATATTTGCCGTATCATTTCCTTCCTCCTCAGACCATTTTAGTGCCAATGCCCAGGTACGGGCATCCTCATATACTGTACGCATAACTCCTTGTTGTGGAGGAACCTGACGGATACTTCTCCGAAAATTTCTGTTTGAACTTACCAGGTAGGCTCATAAAGAAAAATATATACTCCTCGTTCTCCGGAACAGCGGTTATTTCGATTCATTTTAATTTCCATAAGGCGAACCTTCGCACGAGCCTGCTCATCAGGAGGAACAAACTCCATTATCATTGCACTTTGAAGAGCTTCAATTGAATCCGGTTTCTCATTTCTATCCTCCAGATTCATCAACCATACGGCTGCGGAGTCAGTAAAGTAGCATTCAGTTAGTGCGAGCAGCCTTTCCTCCGTAATTTCTTAAAAAGCTCCTGCCTTCTTGACATTATATATGAAACTCTTCACTTTCGAAGACGTGCGGTTCTCGGCTTCTCCGTTGTCAAAGGGGATAGATGGAGCTTTGATAGATGATGAAGCTCTATTCTGCTGCGAAGGTGTGGGTGGAGGCACATACGTGCTTTGGAGCTCAGAAATAGTCTGCGTCTGGGCTTCAATCACTCTTTGGTGATCAGTGACCCTGCTTTCGAGCTCCTGGAGGCGTTCCATGAGAGCGTCCTGTGCAATTGTTCGCGTTCTTGGCATTCGTTTCAGCCTGAACGTTACTCTTAGATGCTACCAAGTGTAATAAAGTTGCTCCAACTAACAACTTTACTTCCGACAATAAAACAACACGCACGATTCTACGAACGTGTCTTGTCCCATCTCGAGGTTCGCCTCTATCTCATACTGTTCACAGCCTTTCGAGACATGTGAACCTTGACACGAAACTGAATACGAAAATATGCCGTGGCGACCGTTTCTGTATTGGTATTCAGAATCCATCACGTGACACCTCTAAGCGGGCGGTATCTTTCGAGAGCGGGGGCACCCACTCTCTTACAGTAACTGCATGCAGTGCCTCTAATACCACAATTGCTCAAATTTACTTGGGGTCTGGGAAATATCAATAAAACAGTGAATTAAGTGTGTAACTAAAAGATCAATGCACATGAATCGCATAGTTGTACTTCATATCTGCAACCGCGAGGTAACTTTCAAAAATTGAAAATCCCGCTTTTTGTGAGAAGTACCTCACAATTACAGTTTAGCTAAAACTAAACCATGTCATATAGAACAACTGCGCAGTTAACAGAAAAACCCCACTTCTCACCCTTCTTGCCCAGTCCTTCTTTACCAAAGCGTTTTTCATTCCGCCCCATTTCAAAAATAAATCCCTCTCACGCTGGTCAAGACTTCTCTGAAATCCTTCGACGTCACTTCAAGGACATATCAAATCATACAGAGTGAAGGCTTGATAGATTGAACCCAAAATGGGGCGCACGATAGAAGCCCACTTAGTTCAGTGTAACGAGGCCTTTCACAGTAGGGATCATAGGTCCAGCCGGCAATACAAATGACAGAACGCAGGACGGCGCCCATTCAGCATTCAGTAGTGCCAAAACTGCACCTAAAGGCTACTACACACTATGGATAGCATTTATGAGGCGGTTCATCGAGAGGCTTCTCAGGCTCTAAAAGCCGAGCAAAGCACTACTGAGGCAGCGGCACAATCCGTTCCAGTGACTGTGATAAAGACTGCGAAAAAGGGAAGCGGATTAGCTTTTGGGATCATAGACAAGCTCTGACAATCCCTATATTTGCTCCTGATGGAAAACGACGATCGTAAATCGCCAAACGCTCCAATAAGTACCCATAGGCACAGAAAGATCTAGCAGTCCATTTATGCGTTCAAAACGTGCCTTTACGGCGTTGATCAGCAACGCGCGAAGTATTGGTGCAACCGACTGCCACAACGGATCGCCTCTGAAGCGCAAACGGATGAAATCTGGGTCTTATCCTCAGCTTTAGAAAGCCATAGAAGCGTATATGAACTATTTCGTACAGTAGTTACGGCAAGAATCTCCATTCAGAGAGAGCGTCGAGCGCGAAAGATCTCTCAGTATTCCGGACAGTATGATCTCTACCTCAATCGAGGAAGCGTCGTTTGAAAATGCGGGAATGGGCGAGAGTTGCGTGATGAGGCCCGGCAGATGCAATTATTCGTCGCAAGCCGTGGATGTTCTGAACGGTTTATAGTTCGCAATAGATTTACGTCCAGAAGGGGGTAGGAAACGCCAAGCGTTTCGAAAAATAATTCGTGGAAGAGCAAGACACCAAAAGGAAAAAGACCTTGCGCACTTCCCACTTTCTTCTATTATGAACATTGAAGAAGTGGCGGTTTTATACAGAGCTTCTCCAAGTTGATGCATTTCGGAAAAACTTCACTGCGTACAAACGCACAAAAGACCGTTTAACAGCAGTGCGTAGGGTTTTTGCAGACAGCTGCAAGGCTCCACTGGCCATTACTAGCAAGTTGAAACGACCTAGAAGCTTCCCAAGACATTTTAACAGCCGTAGGGACCTTAAATTACACTACATGGCACAAAAGAAGCCTGGTAAACGAAGAGCATTTGGAGCCAAATTGTCAACGGATATGACAAATGTGCTCGCCTGGCAGGAAATTCGTTCATTGAGGTTGTCGATAACTGTTCTGCTCTGAACATTGTACATTGAATGTTCTAACTTTAAGTGCTCTTTTCTCCCTCCAAAGTTAACATCGCATCTACAACCCGTCGATGCTGCCATTGGCCGATCTTTCAAGTGTCATTGCCGTTTATTAGTGCAACATATTCTCAGTGTAATGGATGGGCGAATATAAAGAAACACCTCTGAGCGAGAGCGATTTAACATTCGGAAGGTTGTGACTGTGTACGATGCGGTGAGATTAATGTCCAAAGCTTGGTGTAGCATAAACACCCCCAGCGGCGGAGGGGTGTAGCTGACAGTCCGACGGTGACCCTTGATCGGCGGAAGATGGGGGACTCCTCCTGCTCACGGAACCGGGCACGAGCCCGGTAGCAGTGTGGTAGAGCCGGTCGGGATAGGTCGCGTGCACGCACGAGCGGATCGACGCCTCGACGCCGCGGAGCAGCGCTGGGTGAAGTACCAGCGCTGACGGGCTGAGGCGGATCCCGGCTCGCCCGCGTGTCGCGCAACCTGACCCGTGCCGGTTCCTAACTAAAAAGGCCTGCGAAGGTGTTGCCTAATTAGAGTAAGCTGGACGGCTGCTCGGCGGTCGTGGATCGTGACCAAGCTACCTTGGTCCCCCCCGACGGCGCCCTTCCTCCTATTTAATGTACAAGTCGAAGTTATCATATTATAGTACAGTACCGTGCTACTGTACCAGTGCGGGTCGTCCCGCACTGTAATACTGTCAGCCATCGGGCTGACAGCACACGTGTCGTACACGTGTGCTGGCGCGCGCGGTGTAAGATATGCTCGCGCGCACGCTGTAAGGTCCGTACCTTACAGCGAGATCTAGATCTAATTGCAAATCTAATGTGTACAGTAGTCGTCGGCAATTATGCCACATCGCCCCCCACTTAACGGTGAACGTCCGCGTTCACTCTGGCTTGTAGAAGTGGCCATGTCGATCACCGTAACTGAGCGGGACGTGTCCGAGATCGTGCGCGCGTCGTTGATTCCATTGGGTTCACGCTCGCTCCGTCGTCTTGCTATTGCTCCTTTCCCCCTTCGTCGCCTCTCCGTCATCGGTGGCTTCCCGTGTCACC